GGCTGCTAGTGACGATGAGAACGATGATCATGTATCGTCCCCTGCAGCTGTTGACTTATATACTAGGCTCGTTGATGAGGAGCCAATCAAGCGGGTTGTTGCTCATGTCGAGGTAGGATAGGATACCTCTGTTCTTGGTAGTGCAGTCTATGACAGGATGATGCTTCCCCTGTGAGCACGGTATCATCTAGAGGGTCACCAGTGCCTCACCTCACACAGGAATCAACCAAGGATGACTTTAGTTGTCCAGTGTGTTGTGATGTAGGTAGTAGCGTGATGTGCACTCTTTGATTTGATGAGTTTAGGTGCTAGTTCGACCCGTTGATGTATGCGGTTGTGGCCATCATGTATGCCGTAAGCATGTTATCGATATGGTTACACATGCCCACGGTAATGGCTACAAGTGCCCACTCTGCCGTAAGGAGGTTGTCGTTAATAATTATGATGATATCGTCGTGGATAATAAACTGAAGTCAACCATCCAAGATTTGGGCCTTTATGATGAGTCCGGGAGGTCTTCATTCCGATCCAGTAGAAGCAGCACGCCTCTCCAAGAGAGGTACTTATCATATATCCTAAGTTCTTCCAGCTGTTGTTCAGGTTTAATAGAGAGTTCTTCGAGGATGAGACTTTCTAGTCCCTCCGCTATTGTGATATAATTCCGTACCGTGGAAACTACATGCACGGTAGCTTGCAGTTATCATCATCACAGTGTTCGTGTTCCAAGGGGAGTGGGTTGGTTGGTTGCTTGGCTGAACTTAGAGCATTGTTGTAGGAGTAGAGGTTTGTGTTGGCTTCTTTCGCAATCATGAATCGTTCGAGCGTGACCCCGAACTCAGTGGACACGACGGGTAATACACACTGTGAGAATCTTGGGTATACCCAGCAATTCCTTACCTGTTGGGACATTGCATAAGGGAGTGATCAATGACTTGCCAGCTCATTAGTGGTCGATTCCAGGGCGGTTCGATCTCATCGCAGATCGACGCAGATTCTCCCGGGTTTGTTGGAGTTACACGTGCATGTAGCTGTATTTTCATCTTTATGATTTTTGATAGATTTTCTGATGACAGTGAAATTGAGTTCCGAAAGTGAACGAGAGAATGCGACTTCACAGTCCGTTATGTGAACTAATACTTTTGAGATATCATTCCGACCGGTAGAGACCGATGATCAACATGACAGTCATATGTATCGATCGGCAGAGTTTCGCGGGGGGGCATACTCTCGTAATAGAAGTAATCCGGATCAAGTGGATCAGGATCAAAATTCCAAGTACGAAACCAATGCTGGAGAATCGCAATCACGAATGACAGACCGATATCATGGAATCTGAGTCAAATTCATGTCTGACGGGTCATGGCTGGCTCAGATATTCAAGTGGAGGAGTGAATTGGATAATAAGACTGATCTAGTGATCGGGATCCACATACCGGCCTAGGATGTCATAAAATTCTCCGAAGTGGTTGAGATTTGCGTTGATATCACAACTTCTAAACAACTCGCTTAGTTGTGAGCTATGATCGTACTTATCGTCGTTCTTGAGATCAGAACCAGCATCCTCGAAACTGAGGAACGTGTGAGCGATCTTAGTGATTCCTCAAGTTTGTGGGGTGGGGGTTCTGACCTCAGAGGGTTGGTGAAAGAGGCTCACAAGCGACAAGTGAAATACTTATTCCGGTATCGCGTCGATTTTCGGTTTGTGAGGGGACTGGTTTAAAAGTAGAGCCAACCGCCAAGTTGATAGGCACGCAAAAAGTAGTGTCATATGAGACTGTGCGTGTATCCCACAATCCAGTGGGTAGCGAGAAATGGTCCATAATTCACT